ACTGGCATTTTACTTGTTTTAAAAGAAGAAATTCTTTTTTTGATATATATACTAATAAAGACTGTTGGCTACAAGTATTAATTTGAGCTAGGCAAAAGCAGAAAAGGGAAATTTATTTTTATCTTTTAGATTAGAAAATACAGTTTTTTAGAAAGTAAATTGGAGAGAGAGAGAAAGAGGGGATTCACCTCCCCAAGGGAGGGGAGGGGGCCAAACCTAAAGAAAACATGGCCTTCTTTTGAGAAGTGTCTATTCATGTCTTTTGCCCACTTTTTTTTTTGGACAGAAAGCAAAAAAAGTTGCTTTTTTTTTTTAAAGGGGCTTTTCAAAGGGGCTGTTTGTGTTTTTCCCTTTGGTGTAGCCATAAAGAAGGACAAATATATGAACTTTGCAGCAAATTAGATGGACTTGGAGTCTATCATCCTCAGTGATTTATCACAGAAACAAAGAACTGAGTTCCATATGTTCTCACTCATAAGGTGACCTTGAACAATTATAATGCTATAAGAAAGTGATTGTCAGTAGTGGAAACTGTGGGGGGGGTGGGACTGGCAGTTGAGAGAAACTGCTAGGGGAGGGAGGGGCATATCTCATCAACAAGGGTACCTGCATGATCAATGTTTGTATACCTAACCCTGACTTGTACCCCATGTCTTTATAATAAATAAATAAATTTTAAAAAAAAAGAAAGAAAGAAAACATGGCCCGACCAAATATCAAAGAGAACATGACCATATCATAGCTAAGCAAGGCAATGGCCAGGAAATTCATTATAAGAGTACAGGGACACCAAAGAACCCAAGGGCAAGAATGGAGCTTGGCCTCAGGATGGAATTTGTGCTAAGTAGAAAGCCGTCATGTTTCTTGATAACATCACTTCTTGCCTGCATGTATTGTATGCTTCTCTAAGTAGATCAGCTTTTTTTGCATTCTGTCCAAATGCTAAGATATACTCACCCTACCCTTCCAGGATAATCAGCCAATAGCAGAGAATAATTGAACTTCTTTGTTTCCAATACTTTACATTACTCTAATCAACTGTTGCTTGGAAGGATGTGATGGTGATCACAGGACAAAGGTAGCTGCCCAGGCAGTTAGATGACCTGAACTGATTCTGGCTATTATGCATTTAAAGACTTTGAAAGCAATTATCTGCTCCTTCTTTTTGATGGTTTCTCCTCTAAAATCTTGCTCCATGATTTATCTTTTTTTCCTCTTGAGTTATCAGTCTTTTTGCTGATTTTGCATACTGCTTAAATGCATGCTTAGATAACTTTTTTGAAACTGTTTCCTGCTTATATCAATCACTCTTTTGAAAAAGGCCCTCTTAAAAGCTATCAGTAACTTAATTTTGAAACTGTTTGTCATCCCCTTGACCAATTCCCAATACCTAGTAGATGTTCTTTTTAAAATGTTATTTATTTATTTAATTATTTTAGTTAGGTTATCACTTTTGTTACCCAGGCTGGAGTGCAGTGGCATAATCATGACTTATTACAGCCTAGACCTTCTGGCTCAGACGATCTTTCCATCTCAACCTCCCTGAGTAGCTGGGACACCACCATACCTGGCTAATTTTTTGGTATTTTGTAGAGTTGAGGTTTTGCCATGTTGTCCAGACTCAGGTGTTCTTATTCTTTCTTTATGTTTCATGTTATTGCACTATCTGTTCCCCCCCACTCCTCCTATCTTTCTGTTCATGCCTTTGCCAACTTCCTTCTGCTTTCTAAATGTAAAAATCCCTAAAATTAGTTCTTAGTCATTTCTTCGGCATTTTCTTCCTTAATAATTTCATCTACGTGGCCTGTATTCACTTTTACCACTTTTGGGGGTACTTTTAAGTTAATATCGCTAACTCTCTTGCTGGTTTCTTCAAATCAGGATGCATGCAGAAGTTCATTATTTTAGTCTTCAATCCCAGTACTGTCCTATTTCTGTTCTCTTTCACCATAAGGCACCCAAGCTCAACAATACTTCAGTCATATGACCTTGCTGAACTCTATTCTGTATCCTCTATTCAGTTCATTGACAAATCAGATGGGCTCTGTTAGCAATTCTTAAGACACTTCTGCTTTTCTCCCATTGCCACCAGCCTAGATGAAATCTGGTCTTACACCTAGCCTAGTCTCCCTTTCTTTAATTTCTCTCCTTCAAATGATTCTCCATTCCATTACCAGACCAAATCTTTGCTCAAGGAAAGTATGTGTACTTGTACCCGCTTGTGCTTTGCTACTTTCTAACATTGCAAAAATGACTGACAGTTCAGTGGAGATATATAGACAGATATATAGAAAATGTGATATAGTAAATCATTTACTATATCAATATATACAGAAGAAGGAGCCATAAATTATTGAGGAAGATAGAAAAAACTTTATAGAAGTGACTTCTGAACTGGTTCTTGATGGATAAACAGGAGTTCTCTCTGGAGAGAAGGACATTTTAGACAGGAGTATATAGCAAGTGCAAAGACAGCAGACACAAGGAACTGTCTGCATAAGGAACTGTGATAACTTAATGTAGCTGGGAATAACTGTTAAGGAATGTGAAATGTAGACTGGAACTATGTTAAAGAATTAGGATTTCATCCACATTGGAGAGTCAACAAAGTTTTAAAACAGACATTTAGATTTTTACTTTTGGTGGTAGCATGGAACATGGAAAATACTGTTTTTGACACTATTGTTCCCTATTGATCATTGAAGTAATAAAACTCAGTCTTTTCTTTGGCATTCAAGGCTCTTTGCTGTTCTCCATGACTTTCTCAAATATACTTTATGCTTGGGCTACTATGAGATAGGAAAGTCCTTGTGCTTTTTCTTCCTCCACTTTACTATTGAATTTCTACCGTTTTCCAAAGAAATGGAAGTTTAAAGGCCACCACAATGAAACCTTCTCCCCTGACCTGGAGATGAACCCTACTTCCTCTGAGCTCTTTTAATACTTTGTACTGCTTGTGTGGCAGATGATGAGTATATTGAGATCATTGCTTGGTAGTTAGGAGTGTTAGAACTAAACAACCGTGGTTTAAGTCCTAGCTATCATGTACGGTTAGTGTGATGTTGGACAAGTTACTGAATCTTTCTGGATCTAGTTTTTCTTGTTTTAAATGGGGCAATGACATCTACATCACAGATTAATGTGAGAAAGAAATAAGATAATGAGTGTAAAGCCCTTAGCTTTACAGTATAATACAATACTGTCACTATCACAGTAGACTGTATGGAAAGGAGTAGTAAGTATAAATATAGTGCTGAAATTGTTTCTGAAGGTAGAAACACAGCAAGATGTAGGAGGTACTCCATGGCTACAATGGCATTTTAATAGAGAAAACATTTCTTTCTTTCTTTTTTTTTTTTGAGACAGGGTCTCACTGTCACCCAGCCTGGAGTGCAGTGGCATGGTCATAGCTCACTGCAGCCTTGATCTCCTGGGCTCAAGGGATCTTCCTACCTCCACCTCCTGAGTAGGTGAGACTATAGGTGCACCACCACATCCCACTAATTTTTGTATTTTTTTGGAGAGTCGGGGGTCTCACTATGTTGACCAGGCTGGTCCCAAACTCCTAACCTCAAGTGATCCTCTCACCTTGGAAGGATCCCAAATTGCTGGAATTACAGGTATGAGCCACCATGCTCAACCTTTTTTTTTAAATTTTAATTTTTAAAAGAATCTTGCTTTGTCACACAGGTTGGAGTGCAGTGGCATGATCATAGCTCACTGCAGCCTTGAACTCCTGGGCTCAAGTGATCTCTCAATTCAGCCTCCTGAATAACTGGGACTATAGGCATGCACCACAGCTAATTTTTTTTTTTTTTTGAGTTGGAGTCTCACTCTGTCGCCCAGACTGGAGTGCAGTGGCCGCTCCCGGCCACTGCAGCCTTGATCTGCTGGGCTCTGGCAATCCTTCCGCCTCAGCCTTCCAAGTAGCTGGAACTACAGGCACGCGCTACCATGCTTGGCTAATTTTTTGGTTTATCGTAGAGATGAGGTCTCGCCTGCCCAGGCGGGTCTCGAACCCGCGGGCTCAGGCAATCCACTCACTTCAGCCTCCCAAGGCACAGCTAATTTTTAAATTTCTTTTTAGGATTATGGTCTTGCTATGTTGCCCAGGCTAGTCTTGAGCTCCTGGTCTCAAGGGATCCTCTTGCTTCAGCTTTCTTAGTTGCTGGGATTACAGGTGTTGAGCTACCATGCCCAGAGAGAAAACAAATTTCTAATAAATATCACCTATGCATTAGGGAGGAAGGAAAGAACCCTAAGTGTAAAGAATAGCAGCAATTTCTTGTACTGTGTTGTAGGCTGATCATCAGTGTCACACACATGAAAGTTGCTCAGTGTTGTGCCATTTCTCATTTGAAACTCTTAGGAGTCATGACTCACACTGAAGTGAGTTTTAGATTTTTCCTTTTTGTTTCTTTCTCCCGGTTCCACTCTCCTAATTTTGGTAAGCTTTGGGTGAGAGTTACTTGATTTTAAACCTTTTATGTGAAGACTTTGTATTCCTTTGTGGTTATTCAACAGATGAGGCTTCTGTTCTTAACTTTTCCTCATGCTGTAAGATAGTGCTTAGCCAAATGTGGTCTGTGGATGGCCCTCATCAGAATTTTCTGGGGGTGCTGGTTCAAAATATAGATTCTGAGACCCTACTGTCAGAAATTTTAATCACAGGGTAGGTCTAGGATGGCATCCAGGTCTCTGCTTTTAAAATATGTCCACAAGGTGATTTTTATTCTCTAAGAAATTTGAGAATCTCTTGTGATTGGATACTGATTTTAATATTTTAGATGAACCCCAAATCTTGTGGGGTTGGTTCATTTTTTCCTGTGGGTTTGTCAGAAGCAAAGGTAACAATCCTGATTACTTGTCACTTAAAATAGAAAGGGCAACCACTGGCAGTTATCATTATTTTCAGTAAAACAACAAAACCAACCACCCACTATTTACAACAAGAATACTGTGGGAGAGCAGCAGCATCGGCAGCAGCAACACAGGGCGGCAGCGGGTGGTGCACGGCCTCGCAGACGCAGAGTCGTCGCTGAGATCATGGCTGGAGGCAAAGCTGGAAAGGTCAGTGGAAAGGCCAAGGCTAAGGCAGTGTCACGCTCACAGAGAGCTGGGCTACAGTGTCCTGTGGGCCGCATCCACAGACACTTGAAGACTTGTACCACAAGCCATGGAAGGGTGCTGAAGCTGGCAGGTGATGCTTCCAAGGATCCCAAAGTAAAGCGTATCACCCCACATCACTTGCAGCTTGCAATCTGTGGTGATGAAGAGTTGGATTCTCTCATCAAGGCTGGGGGTGGTGTGATTCCTCACATCCACAAATCTCTGATTGGAAAGAAGGGACTGCAGAAAACGGCTTGGGGGGGTAATTTAACCAGCCCTCTTCCTCCCTGTCATTGTACTGTAATTGAGACAGAAGAAACAATGGGGATATGTGGAATTTTTAACAACAGTTAAATGGAAAAGCATAGACAATTACTGTAGACCTGATAAAAGAAACATTTGTATGTTCTTAGACTCAAAGTTTGATAAAAGTACCTTTTCATGTGGTACCAGTTGTGTGTTGATTGGCTAGGTTTCTCAAACCATGTGTTTTATACAAAAATGGAATTGATAAATCTTTTTTTTTTTTTTTTTTTGAGTTGGAGTCTCACTCTGTCGCCCAGACTGGAGTGCAGTGGCCGCTCCCGGCCACTGCAGCCTCGACCTACTGGGCTCCGGCGATCCTTCCGCCTCAGCCTTCCGAGTAACCAGAATTACAGGCATGCGCTACCACGCCCGGCTGATTTTTTGATTTATTGTAGAGATGAGGTCTTGCTGCCCAGGCGGGTCTCGAACCCGCGGGCTCAGGCAATTCGCTCACCTCAGCCTCCCAAAGGCACGGGATTACAGGCTGAGCCACCGAGCCCGGCTCATTTTTTTAAAAAATAAAAAAAAATACTGTGTACATCAAGCAGGTATGAATTTCAGTGTTGGCCTTTTTATGGTCTTGCCAAGGGTTTTGGTCTTCTGTCCCCAAAGGGCAACTGGGAGAGGAAACTCAAACTTGGTTTCTATGCTAATGAGACATACAGATTTTTTTTGAAAAATTCATATTTGTGTTTAGTTTTATAGTTTCTGCAGAAATGCAAGGCAGTACGAGAAATGACCTTTGGCCACTTACAGATTGGTTAATATAATAAGCTTGTGGTACCGTTCCTTTACTAATTACTAGCAGGCAGGGAAGGAGCAATGAAGGTCAATTGGTATTTTTTCAGTTGGTGGTAAAGAAAATCTGGAGCTGGTTGCCTACATCGCCACATTGATTAGATTACAAATGGATGTGAAGGGAACAAATCATGAAATTTAAAGTGTAGTCTAGGGAACACATGTGGTCAAGTCAAGTGTTAAATCTTTTTCTTTGTCTTTGCCATGACAACTCCCTGATGCTGATTTGGATTATTTTCCTCATTGCATAAACCAGTAAATGAGGGTAAAGAATAGGATGGTTGTTTCTTTTCAGACCTTCAGAATGGCAGGCGCGAAGCTTGTGTGAGTGTATGCGCATGCACATGTGCATGTATACATGCCCCAGTACAAAGTATTTGTAACACAGACTACTAAAGGTGAGTGATTAATATAGTCTGTATGTCCATTTTCAAAGACATCATTCAAACAATAATGAATTTCTAATTTCTAGAATATGGTGTAATGTGTGAGAGAAGTCTGGGGGTAAGGGAAGGCAGCCCAAGAACCAGAAGTGAGAAGTGACTGCTAGAGTATTCTGCAATGTGTATGGCCTTGCCTTACTTGCCTTTCTTTCCGTGCTTCCTTGTGACTACGGCTACAATTTTTTTCCTCCTATGCTTATACATTCCTTTTTCTTTTGTTCATTTATTCATAGCAGATGTATTAGGAGTTGGATCTTAGGGACACAGTTTTTGAACTATGGATTCAAGTTTTATAAAAATGCCTTTAAAGTGCCAGTTTCTTGGAAACTATAAAAAGTTGACTGTAGGTAGGTAAATATGTATTTGGTTTGCTGTACTCATTCGTAATGGAATTCTATCATTAAGAAAAACTGGCAGTAGGAGGAGGGTTGCACATAACATCACCAAGGGTATCTAATCCTAAATTAGGTGAAGTGAGGACCAGTGGGAGGCCCAAACTTCTCCTGTACATAGACCACTTATGTACCTAATCCTGACTTATACCCCACATCTTTAACATTATATAAAGAAAAACTTTTATATATAAAGAAAAACTGTTAGCAATTGCTAAGAAGCTTAACAATGGATTTTATGATAAATCACCATGGAGTTTCTGCATAAATATGAAAGAAAGAATTGTTTTCTTGAAACAAACTGTGCTGAGATTCAAGGGCTGAGCAGCATATTTGCTTCAGGTTCAGGGAGCTGTGGTTACTTTTTTAGTTCATGATATTTGTCTGTGTGAGGCCTCTCTTATTTTTATTTTCCTACATCTCTAATTCCTTATCTCATCTGCCTGTCCCATGGGTGCCTGTGAATGTCCTCGTGCGTATGTATATACATTATACACAGACACACGGGTGTGTGTGTGTTTTGTGAAATAATGTGTTATGGCTGGGCTTGGTGGCTCAGCCTGTAATCCCAGCGCTTTGGGAGGCTGGGGTGAGTGGATTGCCTGAGCCCGTGGGTTCAAGACCTGCCTGGGCAACTTGGCGAGACCTCATCTCTACAATAAATCAAAAATTAGCCGGGTGAGGTAGCACTCGCCTGTATTTCCAGCTACTTGGAAGGCTGAGGCGGAAGGATCGCCGGAGCCCAGCAAGTTGAGGCTGCAGTGGCCGAGAGCAGCCACTGTGCTCCAGTCTGGGTGACAGAGTGAGACTCCAACTCAAAAAAAGAAAGAAAGAAAGAAAGAATGTGTTATTTAGTGTGTATTTTTCATTTGTTTAAATGCTCTCGTGCTATGAACCTTATTGTTTTATCTTTTCTTTTTATATACCACTATTTAAAAAGTTTCATCATGTTTCTGTATGCAAATCTGTTACCTTACTGCTTCTGATTGCTGCATAATATTTCATGGAATGTATTTCCCACTTATTCACTTCCCTTGTGATGCCTTCAGCTACTCTTACAAAGAGTGCTCTAGGTAATGTATCAAACATATTCCCTTATGGAACTGTGTATGTATTTCTCTGCAGTGCATACCCAGGAGTTGTAAAGCTGGGCCAAGAATTGACATTACCTGTGAAAGCTTAGTACATAATTGCTCTGTAGAGCGACTTAGCAACAGGGCTTGTAGATTCCTCTTCCTATTCTTGTTAACTTTCTGTGTTCTTAAATCTCATATCTATGTCACTTTATCACATTGGCGAAACTAGAAAATTGATTAATAACTTACTACATTGAAGGGCCACATTTTTATTATGGTAGCTAGAGTTGAAAACCTTATGAGGATATTGAAGGAAGGTTGAAATTCTTGTTGAAGTTTAAGGTTTTGCATGATAATGTGCAAGAATGCTTAATGTCCAAGGCAAGGATTATGTGTTGACCCATCTAAAAACCTGATTTTATCAGAGCCCTCAAGTCAGTTATATTTAGATAGTCTGGTTTAAGTTAACTGTACTCACCAGTGACCAAAGTTAATTAGCAAGTGGATAGATGAATTTATGATGAAAAAATTTTTGCACCTTATGGCTATTTCAGCTGGCCTGTTTCTTTCTGTTGGAAGTCAAAGTGTAATCAAGATGAAGGTAGCTTGTTGAGTTTTATATCAGGGCAAGAGGAAATATTCTATGATTCAGATATTTATCAAGCCTGACAACACTTATTTAAGTCAAATCTAGCAATCTTGGAACCATGAGTTATATAGCAGTGTTAATTTTTCTGGGTCTTTTTTTTGTGTGTGTATGTGTGAGGGTTTTTCTCTTAAAATACACAAAATTGTTACACTTATAACTAAGTTTAGATTAATTTACCTATTTGAAAAGGAGTAAATTGCAATGTTGAGTTGAGAGAGTACACATTGCAAATAGTTTTACAATTTTTCTATTCAATTTTTAGAAATAGCTTTGTAGGACTAGATATGAATGTGATTTTTAGTTTATTTTAAAGCATACACATTTTAAATTAAATTTAAAATTTTAAAATTGTGAAGTGCCCTCCCTCCTCCGTTAGGTTTTCATATTTCTAATGGGAACTCAGTTTCAAAAAAAAATTTTTTTTTAAAGAAACATGTAGTAATAGTATTTTATTTATAGGAATTTTTTTTCTTTGCAGCATATCTTTACAGGGATACATATGTTTTATTGATCAAATCTTGATTTTTTGCTCATAACTTTTATTTTTTACTTTACTTTCATGATTTCCTTTAGGTCATCTGGATCTTGAAGTAATTAAGCTTATAACCAGATAATATGGGTTTTAATTAACAAAAAAAGTCTTCAAGAATTTTCTAAAAACCTCTGTATTATGTTACATGTGGAGTTGATTTGAACTTAACTGATATTTAGGTTAATTAGCTAGAAATCCGACACTGGGGCTTAAGTTTGTACTTCTTTTCTCATTATTCAAAAGCTCTGAGTTCATATGATCTTTTTCTCATTGTTTAAATTAGTAAAGATAGGCAAAAATTCAGTTTTCATGTGAACTGAATAATGAAGTATTTTTATTATAAATTTGATTATTGGAATTTTATCAGAAAAGTTAAAAAAAAACTTATGAAATAGCTGAATTTCCTTATTGTTAACCCACAATGAAAGTAAACTAAGTCATTTTTTCCTTTTCTTTGTTTTTTAGTGAAATATATTAGGCTTAGAAAGAGTTAATGGTTGAAACCATGAGTATATATCAGGATATTTGCAATTTACTAGTAGTGGAGGAATAGTAATCTGATGATCAATCTGTGTAGGAACAGAGACCTAAAAGTGAAAATTTCCCATTTTAAGAACAAACAGAGAAACTTTTTATGGATTTAATAAGGTTAAATCTAAATACTTCACTTAAAGATTGTGTAAATAAGAGCCCCAGGAAATGCAAAAATACTGACTAGGTACATCATGTATATCATGGGAGAATAGTGCCACCTTGTGTATATATGAGGCTATTTTATGTCTCCATTTTCTTTTGTTATGCCTGCCAATACTGTGTTTTTTCATTGTTTGCTACTGTGGTCAGATGTGTAAACGTGTAAAACATTTTTTTCTTAATCCAGTAAAATCAAGGCCTTATATTTTGAAAATGTTAAATTTGTAGTTAGCTCTAAGAATTGGAATGTCTGAGAGATCATACTAGCTAACATTTGTAGTTAGTTAAGAGTTGTATGTATGTTTTTGTTTGAATTTTATGGAAAGTTGGTGATTCTTTAATCTTTCTTCATTTTAGTGCCTGAAGTGCTTTAGGGTTATTCTGAATTGTAGAATTCATTACACCATAGGAAGTATAGGGCATTTAGCTTCTGGTACAACCATATTCCTTGATTTTTAAATGTTTTTTTTTCAGGTCAAGTGCGGAAGAATGATGACAATATAGGTTGAGCATCCCTAATTTGAAAATCCGAAATCCAAAATGCTTCAAAATCCAAAACTTTTTGAGCACCAACATGAGATAGTGACATCTTTGCTTTCTGATGGTTCAGTGTACACAAACTTTGTTTT